AGATTTGAAAGTCGGTTCACGGGTAGCTTGTTCTGTAACTTGCATCATTGTTCCTTATAATTCTTTGTTTTATTATTATTTATATTTTGATAATTTCCCCCCTGAAAGACCGCTGACTCTATCATGGCAATAATCGAGGTGATTATGGACATGAACAAAACCACGCTTGCAGCGAACGGTGATATTTCCAGTAGGTAAGTAACCATTGGTTAGATGACATTTATCTAGTGCATACTGACAGGATATGTTTCAGAGTACTTCGAATTCTCGACCTTCTGGCAGAGAACATCCCAACAAATGCGAAGACAAAGACCAAACTCCTCAAAACCAGCAACCTTGCTCTACAAGCTCTTGATGTCAACAAGGAACAATTCAATGGTTTTACATTTGGTGTTACTACAAACGGGACCTTTTCAAACAACTTTGAAAACTCTACAACATCAGTCAAGCTCTCAAGTTCAGTTCTTGAYAATGCTGGAACGGGATCAGTTCGAATAGGGTTCATTTACTTCAAGAATAAKAAGCTTTTTCAAGGAAACTCAGATAAGGAGAAGAACTACATAACTAGTGAGGAAGTGCTGTCAAGTACTGTTTATAACGTATCGACATCACAATTAGCTGATCCCGTCATGATGAAATTCGCCACACAAGTAGGATCCAACATGGGAAACAGGTCGTGTGTTTTCTGGCAGGATAAAGGTTGGTTTACGACTGAATGAGTGGATACACCATTCGTGTCATTTTGAATCAATCAAAACACAATACATTAAGTGCAGTTCAATATTAAACAAGATAAACTCTTCTTTATTCTGTTAAGGTTTAAGTTACTTCTTTTTCAACGATACCATTTTTTTAGGAACATGCCTCATAACATCCTCTCCATAGAATATGGCGACAATGATGAGAAGTTCTTCAAAGATTTCCAAACAATTTCCTTACATTTACTGTTTTGACCATAGACCCTCAGTGTATAAATTTCTTGTCAGATCAAATCACTGCATTGTCCTTGATTTTGTTTTCATTTGTAGCTCGTCAGTGGTCCAGCGCTGGATGTTCCTTGTGTCCTCACCAGTCCACCAAAGACAGCGTGCAGTGTTGCTGTAATCATCTCACAAGCTTTGCTGTCCTGTTTTCTCCTGAGAAAAAAMCKWCMWCTGAAGATGATGGCGTCCATGCTAAGATTCTGAGCATCATCACCTATGTAGGATGCATGATATCTCTGCTTGGCGTCATTCTTACTTTCCTGACTTATGCAGTATTTAGGTAAGGGAGAAAAAGTTGTTTCGTGTTACGAGGAATTACCTTCACACTGTGGACGTATTCCTGTTGATTCCTCCATGTCGGCTGCTGTAACAGCGCCATAGAGTAATCTTGTTTTACCTTGCAAATCGAGTGTACAATTTGTGAATACTAACAAGGGCAGCACCAATTAAATATAAAGTCTTTTATTGAGGTGACAGCTGAACTTAACTGCTTGTTTTTCTCTTAGAAATCTACTTAAGACCAACCAACAGTATATCCTGATGAACCTGTGTATTGCCATAGCTCTTCTTCTCATCGTGTTTGTAGCTGGTATCAACAGTACCAACAACATACTTGGTTGTCAGATTGTCGCAGTACTCCTTCATTACTTGACCCTTGTCACTGTGCTATGGATGGGTATCGAGGC